TATATATATATATATATATATATATATATATATATATATATATATATATATATATATTAAAAAAATCTGCAATGATCTAAAAATAAAAATCTTGATATTTAACACTTATTTTCGGCCCCTGTATGCCGTTTGGTTCGCCCACAAAAATAAATTTGGTATGACATGAAGCTGCTATTTTTCTAAACCCAACTGTATGGCAAAACGCATATTACTAACAAAAGACCAGCGCAACAAACGCAATAACTGCTGCAGAGCCAAACACGTAAACGATTGTTAACCATTCAAAGTATTCTGATTAAGCAAACCGAACAGTTCGAGTGTTACAGTGGCGGTAGCAGCAAATAAAGTAATACAAAAAAAAAAACTAAATAAGTATATGCATACTTATAGTAATGTATATACGTATAAAAATATGATTGTATGTTTAATATTGCAAATTCGAATTTGTTTAGTGCTGAGTAGGTATATATTTTTTGCCTAGTTTATGTGTGGCCAAACGTTGGGTAATAAATTATCACAACAACTATACATAGCAATATTAACTGTGTTAAATACATATGTGCTTAATGCAAATAGAGAAAGATAATGCAAAAATAAGTCACAAAAGGTAAACGTGAGTAATATGTATTAAAAGGCAGTAAAAAAAAAAACAAAAACAACTTCAGTATGAGTGCGTGAGGCTGACTTGAATGCGTTGTGTGCCCCTTAAAAAAAGGGTTTGCATCTTTCGAAATGAAAAAAATAAAAATAAACAATTGGCTTTCCGTCAGCTCTGAAAGAGTCAAGTGAAATACAGAAAAAGCTACTTGCTCTACGGTACATAATGTGTATATCATATAATCAAAAAAGGTGTAAATGTGTGGAAAAGTGTTCCAAAAGTCAGCGACTAACAAACCACTCTACGAAAAATATTTGCGAAATGTGCAAAAGTTATACATAAGTGCTTTAAAAATCTAAACTACATAGTACATACATACATATGTATGTATGTATATGTAGGTATGAATTTATGTGTGCATACACAACTCACCAGAAAAAAAAACTCATTTTCCTTTTCTTCAACGACGTCAATTTGTATTTCTTAGGTTTTACTTTGTGTTTGCATTTAATTTATTTACATATTTCTTCTCTCTATTTGGTCTATAAAAAGACACCATTCCATTGTTTGGGCCACACTTTTATTATTTCTTATCTAAGTGAAAGTACGTTGGCCAAGTTCAAGGATACGCACGTAGAGCGCGCGATAGAACAGCAACAGTGGCAATAGCAACAGCAGCAGCAACTAAAAAAAAAAAAAATTAACAACAAAAACGAATAAGTGCACATTGGTGAAAGAAGATTTTCTCACCATAACGAAAGCAACAACAACAAAAAGCAAATACATTAACTTCATTACTGAACGCAACAAGAGCGCACTTGGGGTTTTCACCGGACAGTGAACCAAAAACCACCTAAAATCAAATACAATTTTCACCCTCCCCCAGCCACCTACATATGTACGTCAGCACCGACAACCCCTTGAAAATACAGAGTTGAAAACAACAACACTTAAGTGCATATACACTTACAAAAATTTGTTGCTTTTGTATACATATGTATGTACGTTTGTTAAAACTGTTTGCGAATTTAGCTCGCGTCAAATAACTGTGCTTTTTAATACATACTTAGTATTATGTAGTAGTCAGCCTTCTCGGTTGAACTGTGTGCGCGCGCGTTTGTTTTGCATTGCCCACGTGGGCGGGAGGCCAAACAATACTTAACACAGGATCATTCAACTTCACAGCAGCAACAGCAGTAAAAAAATAAAGAACATTTTCAACAAGTAGATATTTGATTCCTTTGGAGGAATTAACTCACACAAACAACGCACACACACTCATTCGCATTTCCAACCCCGCCCAAGAGTGCCGTCATTGCCACCGGTGCAGTTGGCAATCAGCCGTCTTCGCTTTGCAAACAAAAAAAGAAAGCAACAAACTTAAACACTGTTGGAGGTCAGCTGCTGCGGAGGAGCAAGTGAATTGCGTCGCAAAATTTTCTCTCACCCGATCGCTGAGACGTTGCACATATATAGAAAACGCGAAAAAAGCTCGAAAAAGGTGAGTGAACGACATGTCTCTGTAGAATGTCTGTAACTGCGAATTTAGCAGTGTAGTCATTTACATTAGGGTGCAACACTCTCCATAAAAAAATGTGTCTGTTTTCCATCGGAATTATAAAATGCATTATACATATTTTAGGGCTTCCGCCAACATTTTTCGGAAAAAATATGCAAAAAACATTAAGATTTACGTGTGATGGACCCGTAAGAAAATACATCGCAGAATCTAGTTTTTATAAATAAAATTATTTTTTTGTATAAATGTATATTTTTGAATTCGCCTCAGATGATAGACGAGTTTAAGCTTAAAAGGTCTGCATAAAAATGTTTAAACATTTCATCAACGGCATAAAATAAAAGATTTTTGTAGGTATTTTCAAATCGATCTAGCTCCCGTAAATCTGAATATTTGTCTAGAATATTTTTGCTGAAGTTTAAAATATAATAACTTTTATAGTTCCACTGGAAAACCCGCAAATTTTTTTGGAAATGCACCCTAATGTACATATAGATAAATATGGATGTATGTATGTATATTGGACATTTGTTATGTATGTACGCATCAGCCGCTACCCACGCGTTATTCATTGTTACCATACCATTATCCATAAATAAGTATGTACGGTTATGAATGTAACCACACAGTTCATCACAGAAAGAAGTATCATCTTTCTAATTGAATGCACTAGCAGATATTACAATACAGAATTTTGATTTTAGAGTGCTAAAATTTGTTTTTGAAGACAGTTTGGTTTAATTTCAATATTAATATGTATACATTGTACATACATTAGGGTGTGTCACAAACAACTTCATAGATTTTTTGAGCCCTCCATCCTAAAACTTTTTTATTGCATAACATATTGAGGTGCTTAGGGATGATTTATGTATTTAGTTAGGTAACTTTCGGCAGTTTTTTTCCGGCAACGTTAAACCACCCTTACAAGTGAGAGAATTAAAAAATGTAACAACAAGAGTTTACAGGCTGTGTATAGCTCAGCGGTTAGCGTTGCTGGCTTTGCACATCGATGATGCGGGTTCGATTCCTGCTGAAGTATAGAAAAAGAAGTCTGATGAAAGATGTGGTGATCTCCGAAATAGCAGCTATAATTTCTACCGCTTAGACTTTGTTGCTTTTCCCATTTTCCGCCACTTTGAATTTTAAGAATTTGCTTCCAGAATCGTAATCAATGATCTTCAAAACTTATATTATGAAAATCATAGAACTCCAATGACACCTTCACATTTTGATAAATTTTTTTTCGATCAGTGCAGCGTTGGGAAATCACAATTTTTTGACGTTTTCTTTTTTTTTTTTTAATACTCATTTGCTTTTCATTTAAATCAACTGCTGGTTTTGGGTTTTGCAGTGTTAAAAAGAAAAAGCTCTAAGACTGAATTTGAAAAAATATCAAAAACCGATTCTATGCAGGAGTTCAAAGTTGCCATCTAAAAATAAAAATGTGATCTTCCAAATTGTCAGTGATTCGTATTGTATCAGGAACTAGATGCATGCCAAATCTATCATTCATTCAAATTATTGCCACCCACTAAGTATTAGGCCAACTGTATAAAATGCTTCTAATCCATTTTCATATATTCCCGATGATTTAGGCCCCAATTTTAGAAAAAGCATGAAAACTTGTGTCTAATTACCCGAATCTTGTCCGAATTGTCTACGTAAGATTAATATTTAACAGTAACCGCCAACTCAGTATCAGTATAACCCAACTAAAACCACCAGAGATACTTATTTCAAGATTGTAAAACTTTTTTTATTATTTCACTACTACAGCAACTCACACAGCAAAATGTCAAGCGCAAAACCATCTAACTAATTCGGGAGTAGCATACGTTATAAAATGAATAGAAAGGAGAGGTTTGATGTTCTTATGGACAATGAAATATTAATAGGTCGCGGCTACAATTCTCTTTTCCACAGAAAGAATGAATTGCAAAAAAAAATATTCACTACCAGGTTTTTTTTTTGTCTGGAAACTTACTTTTGTGCCATACTGTATATACGATAACGTTATATATGTAGATATGTATTATACTTCACCGCCCACTAAAAATATTCAAACTCATCTCATCTCTGATTTGTTGGCAGTCATCGATTTACTTTTTATGCTCGCATCATTGCTATTGTAGGAGTTTTTTTTTTAATGAATGAAGGTAGAAAGTAACAACAAAATATATACACACAAACATATAATCGTTCATTAACTAAAAGACTGTCACTACTCTAAAAACGAGATTTTTCTTTAGAACGCGCTTACAGTTCTAAATTTGATCCCTACTTAAATGTAGAAACACACAATATGAAGCGTGTTACTTGATATAAGTATCAAGTAATTATGTACGATTTACTCAAAAAAATCGTTTTTTAGTTATGACAGTCTTTTAGTAAATGAACGACATTTATGTATGTATTTTTGCTTTTGTTGGTATTCCATCCACTTCATTAATTTTCCGAATCTTTCTCTGAATGAAATGCAAACGAAAAAGTGTGTCATATGCGCAGATACTGAACAAATTAGCTTGTATTCACAGAAATGTTTTTTCGCAAGAAAAATTTTATTTTTCACAAATAATTGCTCAATTAAATAATCCTTGAATCGGTGATCAAAATGACCTTGATATTTTTTCGCATGCATACGCAAAAATTACATGTTTTTCATAAATATAGCAATTTATAGTATTTTCCAAAGTAAGTAATTTGGCTACAGAAAACTTATTTGCATCAAATTTTTTTTTAGCGCACCGAATTAGTATTATTTTGCTGTTAGCATGAATTATTGAGAAGTGAATTTTATTAAAATTTGGCTCTAGATAAAAATCAAAATATGTATGTATGTAAACTTTTTCCAGAAAATGTAATGCAATTATGTATATCCATACATATATCGTTACCTTAATTCACAAAGGCCGTAAACAACAAATTTTTTATTTAACAGGAGAAGCAAAAAATACGTTTAAATAGAATCAAAACCAGGGCTTTTTAAAAAGTGGCATGTAACTTCGTGGTTTTTGGTACTAAAACTTAAAAATTTTTATTGAAGGTGTGCTTTAACAATACCTCCTACCAAAATCTGTGAAAACGCAGTTTCGAAAAAAGTGTTGGTTAGGGCCTTTGTGAATTAAGGTAACAGTATCGGTCATATGAATAGCATCCTCATTTCAAAGTGATATTATTTGCCACTCATCTTTATTTATTTCTTTTTAACAAGTTTTAATTTAAAATTTATATAGAATATATGTATATTATAAAAACCTAAGTTGAAATCTTTGTAGAAAATTACACAAAAATTCAACAAATTTGCACCCAAATTTCAGACTCTATTCTCAGAAGTGTTAGAGTTTTTTTTTGAGTATACAGTTTTATAGCCCTTTCTATTTTAGTCTAAAACTATGCAAGTTTCAGGTGGCTAAAAATTACCGTTGATTTTTTAGAATTTTTTTTTCACCGAAGGAGTTCCGGGTTTCTACCATATAAAAATAATCGATTGGCTGACCCCGAAAAACATATCAGGTTCGAGGTCATTTGAGGGTCAAATACGACAAAAAAATTTATTCAATAAAACTAAAAAATAAATGTTTTTGTTTTTGTTGTCGCTAAATCCGAATATGGGGCTCCCTTGATTCTTCAAGGCCATCTTGATGTCATGCCAAGGTCATCCCATGGTCTAAATCAGAAGAATTGTATTGAATTTTCAGGTTTATTCAATGAATTTTTCCTTACCTGACCTTCAAATTACATCGAACCTGACGGAGGCTAATAGACCTCGCATTCGGGACGTCGAATAACATAGGGATATAGAGGGTTGGTTTAATATGCAGAAACTTTTTTTTTAACCTGGGTAATTAAACATAAGTGGCAAGGCATGTCAATTTAAAATGGGGGTGATGTTGATATGACCCATAAGTATTTATGTATGTGTGTAGATCTTCTTCCTCGGCTATGGAAAATCAGTTTCGACAAAGTGGTGCGGTTTTCGACTGACATATGTGGTATCTCTATCACAGAATTTTCATTCTCTTCTTACCTCGACAACAACATTTTATTACGTTGTATACATATGTATTTGACATGTTTCCGGAAATGTTTTTTTATTAGCTTCTATAAAATTTCGAGTTTGTCAATTATAGCCTTTTAACTGGTAGAATTTTGGCATAAAATAAGAAAGTTATGAAATGTTTGGGAAATTATGATGGGATGCTGGAGCTCTCTAGTCCCTTTATCAGACCCCACCAAAATCAGTGCGAACATTGCAGGCAAGGACCTTCGATAAATTAGTAACTACTTAAGCTAAATCACTCAAAATCTATATAGGCAATGACCTCTTATCAAAAAGTGATACCTACTAGAGACAATTTTTGGAAATCGACATATGTATGTGTTTATCGGTAACCGGTTTATTAATTTCTGCAAAACTTGGTATATAATAACTAACAATACTAATAATAACTGGCGCAAAAAAGCAATATGTTGAATATTTTTGAAATCGGACTAAAATAACGCCCACTTATCATATAGCGGTATATTTCACATAATTCAATGTATATCGCTAACCGATTTATCGATTTCGACAAAGCTTGGTCCAATTACTTCAATACATTACCATCCAAACAGCAGTCTACTGAATACTACCTATGCCAAAGTCTTGTAAAAGTTTTATCTATGATCCTTGACAGATCTCAAACGTTTCTGCGTTTCTTAATGCTTGGAACATTAGATTGTTAATTTTTTTTTGAAATTACATATTACATATATTTACATATATGAAACGGGTAGATAGGCTATCTTTCATAAAATCGACAGTTATGTAGCTGCCAAACGAAAGTTAACTCGGCACTAACCTAA